TATATATATAATATTTGTGTGCAAAGTGCTTATATAGTAGGCAATCAATCTGTAAGCAATAACATATTTTGGCAAATGTGATTTTGTCTCTAAAATTTTTCTTTACGCGCAAAAATGTTTGTAGACAATCGAGCTGTAGACAATAATTCATACAGGCAATACTACATGTAGGCAATAATACACGTAGGCGAATGTGACTCCTTTTCTAAAATTTTTACTTGTACGCAAAAATGCATGTTGGCAATCGAGCTGTAAGCAATAATTTTTGTGCACAAATGAACTGTCGGCAAAAGTGATGTAGACAAACAATGCTGTAGACAAAAAGAGCCATCTCTACATGCTGTGTGAATAGTGTGTCACAAATTTAAATTCATTGTACAGTGTTAATTCTGTGTTGGACAATGCCCGTCACTTTTGTCAACTAAAAAAACGAAATTTGAATATATCTGTGAATATCTATGAAAATGAATAAGTGTAAGATATAAGCAATCTGCGATAAATACGACGGAATTGTTGTCTGTGGATAACTGTTAAACATTCAGGTATTTATTGTGTTCATCGTAAAATAATGCGATGTGTAAATGGATGGATGTACGAAATATTCGTATATATTCTATTAGAGAATACAATAAATGGCACCCAACGGGACGCAAGAACTTGGTGAATATTTATAAACAAGTTTATAATGAGTCACGTAACTGTTCAGCAAAATTTCCTATTCATGTTTTTCATGTCGGTGTTCAAAATATAACTGCGATGTTAATAATGTACAAACGATGTAATATGAAAGATAATAAAATATTCTTCGAAGAATGTGCTCCTTTTGTCTAAACTTTTCTGTACGATTTAAAATTTCAGTTCGTCTTTCTAATCACGATTCTTTTATTAATTAAAATATAAAGTTAATTTTTGTTTAAAAAATATTGTGCTAAAAAATACGTGTTTTTTTTTTAAATCAAATATTGATTATAACGATTTCTGATCAAAATGAGAATAAGTTTAATCTCTCTAGAAAAATCAATTTGAATTTGAATTTTTGATACAACTATTTGCAAGATATTATTTTTAAAAAGAAAATGTTTTTTTATAACAGGAAGAAATTTTTATTGAATCAATATTTGAATGAATTACAAAATTAAATATATATATGTAATATAATAATTTAGCGCGAATAGTAAAGTACCTTTGGTATTTGAATAATTGAAAATAAACATTCATATATTAATTCAAGATCAGCTCACACGAGAGATCTAAACATTATTTAATTAATTTTGTATCGTACAACACCA